AGCTGAGGACCTTCAATGATAATTTTGACTCCTGTGCCTCACAACATCTAATGCAAATCCTGAAACTGAACTTCTCTGGACGTTCCTGAATGACACCTCATGTCCTCCATCCACCTCCATCATCCTGCATGCTGTCTGTCACGATGCTGGGCTTCCTCGTGCTCATCTTTTCACTGTGTGGTGAGTGCTGAAGACATCTCTGTGGATCTGACATACTGTGTATTAATTTATTTAATAATGGTTAGAGACAAAACTTTTAACTTTCCCTTTTAACTTCACGCTTAGTTTATTGTTGGAAATTTAATTTCAATGGCCTCCATGAGTTACAAGTAAAGGTAACTGGAAAAAGCAAAAATAATGATTTGTAAATACTGAGATTTGAACAAAAGACAAAAACATTCAAATTATTATTGATGGAAGAGCTACAGGTATGTGTTATTGCGGAACAAACTTCTGATCTCAATCAATAAAGTGAGTGTGGTGGTCAACAATTCATGGGTCTGTCGGTTGAAACTTTGCTCGCTGGAAACTTTATGACCAATAGGAGCTACAGTAGCGTTACTTATCTGCAACTGATGCGAAAACAATGAAAGGATCATCACACAGCCCTTCAATAACACAACACAACAAATAAGTCCTCTATCCTGAGAGTCAACATAACCAGAGAGAAAAATGTTGTTGAGTTCAGATGTGAAGCTCAGCTGGTTATATATATATATATAACTGTGTAATTAACAATCTTCTGTTTTCTTCTTTTTTTCAGATGCTCTTGAACCAAAGACAAAAAACAGAACTCATGTCATGTCTTCAAGTGAAGGCACTAATATTATGTTGACCTGTGAAGTTGTGGGAAACCCTCTTCCGGTCTATAGCTGGACTTGTGATGGGGAAAATATGTTGGAGAACACAAACAGTCTCAATATCACCCTAGTAAAACGCAACACAACCTGCACCTGCACAGCTACCTATTATCTAGGAAACATAACTAAGACATTCCATGTTCATGCTGGACCAAGAGGTACACATCCCTGTTTACCTTACAACTACTGTCCTTTTTTAGGGACTTATGTCTTTTTATATCCAAAATCAGTTTTAAATGTTAACATGTGTGCTTGTTAATGGCAGGTTGCCCTTTAACACTGACACCTTCTGAAATTGTTGTGAAATTTGGAGATCCAATTTTAATCAACTGCAGCACATCAGCTACAGATGTTGAAGGAATGGGCTGGGAGGCTCCATTTGGAGGTACAGGATTTGAACACCCTCCTGTTGTCACTTGGAGGGTTGAAAAACTAGAAGAGTGGACTCCAAGTCCTTCCTGCTATGCTACTTTGGTTGATGGATCCCAGTGTACTGTGAGTCCACTCATCACTGTTTACAGTAAGTACATGTGCACAGACTGTGTTACTGTATTATGACCTGCATGAACTGGAAAATGTATATGTAAGAAAGCAATGATTAAAGACATGCTTAGACATGATAATTGATCCAATTCAAATGTTCCTTATGTGGAAATCAAAATGTGACTCTGGCACCTGCACTAGTACTAAGTAGTACTAACACTTTTAGAAATGCATTTTTCCTGTACTGATGTAGATTTAATTTGGTTTTAACATTGTAAATCAGCAATACCAAAAAATAAAAATTGTTTTATTTCCAGAAACTCCAGACTTTGTGTCAGTGTCTGACATGGGTCATGTTCCGATGGTGGAGGGCAGAGAATATGATCTGAAATGTGATGTCATCAGTGTTGCTCCTGTACAGAATCTCACAGTGACGTGGTACAGAGGCAATGAAACTGTGCTCACAGAGACGTTTAATGAATCTACTGCGATCCCAGTAAACACATCTTCTACCCTGAAAATCTCCACTCAGAGAGATTACAATGGATTAACTTTTAGATGTGAGGCTGAGCTGCACCTCGGACCCAAAGGACCAAAGTTCCTCCCTAATACATCCTCACCACCTTACACTGCTGTTATCCTCTGTAAGATTTCCACCCACGTATTTCATG